AGATATTCCTGGCTTGCTTGTCTTGTTAGATTTTGAAAAAGCTTTCGATTCTCTGGAGTGGAACTTTATATGCGAAACTTTGAAATTTCTAGATTTTGGTGACACAATAGTGAAATGGTTCACAACCCTATACTATAATTCAAAAAGTTGTATTCAGAATAATGGCTATCTATATGATTTTTTTGTAATAGAGAGGGGGTACGACAGGGGGATCCATTGTCTCCCTATCTTTTTATTTTATGTCTGGAACTGCTTAGTGCATCAATAAAATATGACAACAACATTAATGGTATAAAGATTAAAAATTCTGAATATTTACTCAGCCAGTATTCTGATGATTCGACTTTGATCCTGAACGATAGTGAAGAATCTCTAAACAGTGCTCTGAATAAGATAGACTTGTTTTACTCATGCTCTGGTTTAAAGGCTAATTTTGAAAAAAAACCCAAGTTATATGGATTGGGGCAAAAAAGGGCTGTGGTGAGGAGCTAAACACAAATAAAAAAATAATATGGAACCATTCAGGAAATTTAAAAATCCTAAGCATTCAATATTGTTTTTTCAAAAGTTAATATATATATGTGTTGATAATTATTTAGAAAAAATTCAAAAAGTAAAAAATCTCTTAAGTGATTGGTCATTTTAAAATATTACTATGTATGGAAAAAATTGTAGTTGTGAAAACTCTTGCACTACCAATTCTAATTCAATGTTTTACTGTTTTACCAGATCCATCCCCAGATATATTAAAGCAGATACAAGCTACGCTATACAGATTTGTGTGGGATGGTAAAGAGGACAAAATTAAAAGAAATATACTTATCTCAAATTACGAGGATGGTGGTGTAAAAATGCCACATATTGAATACTTTATAAAATCACTTAAGCTATCCTGGATTAAAAAAGTTTTAGACCCTACAAATTATTCATCATGGAAGGTGTAATTGGCAGATTATCTTGAAATGAATGGCGAAGAAAATATTTGGCATTTATCAAAATCAGCACTTAATAAAATTAAAAATGAATTTAACCCTTTTTGGCAAAATGTAATTTCATCATGGGCCTCACTGTGTGAACCTCTGACCACAGCCCCAAGTGACATCTTGTCTCAATCATTTTTCTTAAATGAAAATATTATGATTGATGGAAGAACAGCTTTTTATAATAGTTGGATAAAGAACAATATATTTTTCATAAATGATCTCATTAAGGAAAATAGAGAATTTTACAATTTTGATGAATTTATTAGAAACTATAATATAAAAACAACTTTCCTATAGTTCTATGGACTAATCTTTGCACTTCCAAAGGAATGGAAAAATGTTATTCATTCACAAGTCTTTTTCAAACTAAATACTGTCGGTCACAAAATTGTAACCGCCATAAAAACAGTAGATAAAGTATCAAAACATTTTTATAAAATTTTTCTAGATAAAATAAAGGAAACCCCATCTCGTATACAAGAGAAATGGAAAATAAAATTGGGAATAGATATCGTGGCCGAAGAATGGAGTTTCTTTTTTAGTCTTCCTTTACTTATAACCGAAGATCCTACATTACGGGCATTTCAATACAGATTACTCCATAGAATTCTAGGAACAAATACTTTACTTATTAAGTGTAAATATAGTGAAACAGAATTGTGCACTTTTTGTACAGAAACTAAAGAAACACATATACATCTCTTTTTTGAATGTAGATATGTTCGAACATTCTGGTTAATTTTTTTTCAAAAGTTGGAAGAGGTATGCGAAATAAGTTTTCACCCACTTTATCAAGTATAATCTTGGGTGTTAAATATCATGTATTTAAAGATATTCTTATTCTGATATTGAAGAGATATGTTTACTTATGTAGAGTTAGATTTAAAATCTGTTGATGAAGCAATTGAATGGCTTAGATATTATTATAGGATTGACATGGTCTCTATGAGTTTGTGCTCGACAAAGAAAGCAATAAGAATAAATATAATTGATAATATTATTAAAAAATAGAACTCAAAAGAAGATGTATTCTGTACTGTATTATTGACCTAGTACTTTATAATTTGTAACAATTATGGTTAACCATATATTTATGAGTTATTACAAAGTTACTTTTTTGTACATCTTTATTTGTAGATGAGACTTGAGAATGATATGAAAATAATAAAAATATATATTACAAAAAAAAAAACCAATCAATCAATCATTTAATCTTTAAACTTTACTTATTTATAAGATTTGTTAATATAGGATCTGTAAAAATTTTGACAATTTTTGTTTCATGACCATTCATTGCGGGGTAATATGTTGGGTTTTTTTCTTAGTTAAGAAATCAACACTTTTCAAATATTTAAAGTGGTTTTTATAAAGATTGATGGGGTAAGTGATATTATGCACGCATGCTATAGAAGTTTCAAAGCGAACCGTTTTATAAAAATGATGGTCACAAATATATTCAAAGCTTCTCCATTTTTATATTATTCGCAGATTATCAAGCAACGCTATTGCACCAGATGTTATCGGCCGCTGGAATCTTCGGGAATGTACAAAGAATGGAACAAATGACGTCACAGAGAATAGACGCACTTATGTGTGAGAAAACTGCTGCTCATGACGAAACAAGCCTAAATTGTACTTTATTATGTAGTCTGAATGCTTGCCAAAACTACTTAGCAAAGGTATTATAATAACTATTAAAATATAAATTTTCTTATTTTACTTTTCACTCCGTCCCACAGAGATGTACTGCCTTACTTCTGACCGTTTGTCCGTCCAATAAACTTTTCAGCGCATTTTTCTCAAAACATATAAATGAGAACTTCCTGAATCTGTAGTAAAGTGTAATTGAGCATCCCAAACCCCGTGATGCTTCCTTACCGAATATTTATATATTTTAACAGACATTTATGAAATGTTTTTCAAATTTTTTCTCATGAACTACGCATCTCAACTACTGATATTTTATATCAAACTTTATGTGTGCATGTTGTATTGTGAAATATGTTTTCACATTTATCACAGGAGCATAATACACGAATGAATATTTTTCAAGATTCTGAAGTTTTGCTTGATTTTCCAATTTAGTGTCTTAGCACCTGTTTACTTTTCTTCAGTCAATAAAATTTGATTGTATAGGATACTGTTTAAAGTTGAATATATGCATTATTAAAAGAAAATAAGCATAAATAACAGGAAATGTAGAGTACTAGTATACAATAAGGCAGATAATAGCATAAAACCAAATATCAACAAGTAGATGCCAAATTACAATGATAGGTAATACGATAGTCTTGATATAACTAACGCCAATATGTAACTCGACCCTAGTCTAAAACGATGCGAATGAATTTGATAGATGATATCTGCATCTATATTATAGTATAGTAAAATGTCTCGAAATGTATATTTATTTGACAGTGTGTAAACATTGAACTTCCGACTCCGCAATTTAAAAATTTAAAAGCTGTATGAGACAGTATATAATTGCTATTTCTAACAAACTGATGGAAAGTCAATTCGACAGTATATAATCTATTAATGCGTTCATAAAGGAATGACATTATGATGAAACATAAATCAGACTGTTGTTTTTGCCTTTTGAATGGTTTTGTCATGCCAAAACTTTTTAAAGCTTACTATACGGTATGATTTTTGCTAATTGTTTAAAACCGCGTACTGTGCCTTAAAATTGTTTGGTTTCTGGTGAATAGTTGCATCATTGGCAATCACACCACCTTTTTCTTTTTTCTAATGAAAAAAAATCTTTTTTTGTAAAACCTTTTATTAATCAATTCATTTATTGGTTGTGTCTTTTTATTTACTTTACTTGGGGTCTCTCATTGCTTATATGAAAAAGCAGGCCTTTACCTAGTTTTGAAAGCTATACTGCTCCCTGAAGATTAGGGTAAATCAATTTTACTGTCACCAGCCCTTTGATGGTCTAAAAAATTCTTAATAAAACTGTTTTCCTTTTTTATACAACGGTATTCACATAGTTTTCAATAGCAATTTTGGCACAAGATCTATCGAAGTGTTACCAAAAAAAATAGATGGTAATAATTGACCAATCACTTTTAAGTATTTAAGTGTTTGTGAATTATAATTTCAGCCTTTCGAGTATGGACGTAAACATGTTGTCAGGTCATCTCTAATACATAGCTCCAGATGGTTACTTGGAATATTTCATAACGGAGACCTATCTGTTCTGGAAACCAACTGTAGTACTGTTTTAGACAATGTAGCAGTAATACAATTCCCAACTTCATTTCAGAATAAACCACAACATCATTCTGATACGGTAACATGAAATAATGATCTATACAATTGTTAAAACTCATAATAATAATTATTACATAAAAACAGATAGGGAATATTGAAACATCTAGTTACATGTATACTGCATGTAAATTTGATCATACAATGATTATACATAAACTTATCATAGATACCAGGATTAAAATAAATTTGTACGCCAGACGCGCTTTTCGTTTACAAAAGACTAATCAGGGACGCTCGAATCAAAAAAGTTAAAAATCCAAATAAAGTACGAGGTGCCAAATACAGCTATTCACATCTGTCAAAGCTTGCATTATTTTTTCTATTTTCTATATTATTGTTTACCTTTATGTTTCAAAAACATAAGATGTGCAATTAAAAGAAAAGAAAGAAAAAAAAAGAAGAGTTGTAACGCTTGAAGGCATTTATTTGGGATTACTTGATCGTTTACTAGGTATGAGAGAACTTTATTAGTACTAAATCTTACCTTATTATGGAGCTAAAGTTAAACTAATTGTTAATTATTCGTTTTAATTTCTACATTTTTATTTATAACGAATTAAATTACCAAAGTGCTGATATATTGGGTTGATTATTGATATTAAAAGTAACTTGTGATACAATTAGGATGGCGAAATAATCATTGCAGTAGTGATTACACGATAATATGAAAGGTGCGTATTTTATTTCTTTAAATTTATTTAGCATACATTTCAGAAGAAAACTGATGTGAGCAATAGGATGTGTGGAGATGCGAAAATAGTAAATAATGAATCTGCCTTGGCATCAGCTGCCATTGATAAACCACCTAATGTAAGTTTAATGTTGTTTAAAAGTTCTAGAAAGCAAAAGTATATCCACACTAAAGATAATGAAATATGAGCCATGAGTGTTTCTTTTTTGGTAAATATCCTTACCCTGGAACAATCTAAATGTAACATGTCGATATTTAGAACTAATAGCTCTAAAGAATTTTTTATTTGCCGAAATAATTTTGGTTTATTTTTATAATTGAGAGGTAGGTACACATATTACTTAACATACGAGAATGTAATAATTAAGTAATACTTATAAGGAGATGTGAACTAAAGCTTACTTTGTTGTGAAGACAAATTGTGTTGGTGCATCACATTTGTGTGCACATTTTTGCGCGTTTTAGTTTTGCTGGTTACACAGACAATTCATGAAGCATTTGAAGAAATTTTAAAAGCCAATACAAAGAAAACAAATTGTTCGATATGTTTCTTATTTAACGACAGATATAATAATCCGGATCATCAATAACATTCAAATCTGTATTTCCAGATAGAAAATAGAATGCGCCGATTTCAAACATAGGCTAGAATAGAATACACAAAATACAAACGTTAAACTCACCACGGCATGCATAATAATAAAGATATCAATGACAATTACACTTCATAAATTTCGTACGTTCGAAGCGCTTTTCTTTTCTTTCTTTTTTATCTTCAACGGGAAAGCTAAAATCTAAACATTTGAAAGGCTATGATGTATAAAACACAAAATACTTTTGGCATTACTATCATCAGCAGAGCCAAAACGTACTGCCAATGACCCGTACTATTTATTATTTTCAACACAATAATTAATTAAGTGTTTCTAATCACTATCTTGAAATCCAAATAATCAAATACATTGCATATGAAACTAAGAGACACACGAATATATCCGCAGAAAGAGAAAGAGAAAACTGGAAAATCAGGATGGAGAATTTCTTAAAAGCTAATAGTTTCAATATTAAAACAAATTGTGATATACTAAAACGATAACAATCTTGATATGTATCTGTTTGAGTTTACCTTAAATATGAAGGCACAAATACAATGCATCGAATCTGCATAGCAGAAAAAATAATAAAAAAAGTGAATAATAAAAATAATCAGTGGATGAAGGACAAACAATAACAATAAAGATGGAAAACAACGTATTCCAGAAAACATTAAATAAACTAATCGTAGATATAGACACCAGGATTAACATGTTGTACGTCAGACGAGCGTCAAAAGACCTATCAGTGAATCCTCGAATCAAAAATGTTAAAAGGATCAAATACAGTGCAACGTCGAAGAGCGTTAAGGACCCAAAATTCCGAAAGATTTTTCCAAATATAGCTATGGTAATCTTTTCCCGCTTAAAAAAATCGTTAGTAAAAAAATCAAAGTATCGTAAATTTAAAAAAAAAAACATGAAAACTGAGCAATACTAATTCTAACCCCCTTCCACAGAGAAAAATAAGACGAAAATACCGAACTTAGGTGTTCTGATCGGTTAAGTAGTTCCTTTTCGTCTAGTGGCACCCAACATATATGACGCTCAAGTGAAGTCTCTAGGGCGATCATTAACAAGGCAAGAAGGAAGAGATTACCAGAAAAGATCAAAGATAGTCTTTGTAAAATAAATGTGTCTGATTTGCACAGAACGCTAAAATACGCTTAGATATTACAGGTATTCCTTGATATATTTTTATTGTATATCAATTTAGATGGACTTTCGCGATACAAAAGATTGTGCTTGGTTACCCATAAAAACCTTGATGTGGGAGAAGGGAAAGAGAAGTTGGAGCACCGTTGGTTATTCGCAATTATCAGGAAGCCTTCTGACGCTGAAAGAAATTTTTCCGAACTCAAAGATGGGATTCAATAAACGCAAATTCTTGGTTAGCACATTGCCTGTAAGTTATTAATTGGTGATAAAACATTTTCATTCGTTTCAAATTGTCTCTTTTTCTTGAATCTAGTCATTGTAAAAATCATAAACGTTTTATGTTTTGCTATAAGCAGACTGTTTCCGTCCAATAACTTTTATAACGTATGCATCTCCAAAGAGATAATGGCAGTGTTTAAGACAACACAATTAAGATAAAGGAAAATGTCCTAATATTGAAACTTACTAAAAATCCGCATTGGATCGGATACTTGTGGAATATATGTGTAGAACTCACATCTTTGGTGGGTTCCAGATCTATGGCAGATTCATAATCTATGGCGAATATGACGTCATGCCATCCCAAATCAATGGCAGATTTTTTACAATTCTTATCTATGGCAAGTTTTGTAATTTCCTAATTTATGGCGGATGTTTGTTGTTTCCAAATCTATGGCAAATTTTGTGCTAATGGAGAACATGGCAGTACATATACGACCAACGACTTGTCTATAAACTTTTGTGAAATAAACATTCCATAATGGTCAACCATATCGTGATGGCAACCAATAATTCTACTATAATTTGAATATTAGGGAATACGTTTATATAAATGGTCGAGGGGGCTTCCGGTAGTAGCTCTTGACGTAATGTATTTTTCCTTCGGGCTTTTATTTGTTTGTGAGTGAATTGGTCCAATTTATACACCAATAAATTCCTTTAAAAAGGCGTTCCATTCCTATATAAAATTTCCTAAGTGAGGAAGTGATATACCCTAATACAGAGTTCAGGATTGAAATGATGTGCCCCGTAAAAATAAGCATTTTCTAATCTGTGCATGGTACCTGTTTAACCCTTTTATTATACCAACTAGTAAAAACGGAAGTCCCTTAAATATTTATTTGATCGTTAATTCATCTTTTTTAAATGATGACGATTTAAGTTAAAGGGGTATCCTGTAATTTCATCTCTCACTTTATATACTTTGCCAGCCGTAGACGCCAAAATATTTACTATAACCCCTTTCCTAAAATATCCGCTACTGAATACAGATGTGCCTTTATTCATCGCAGGATTAGGACGGTACAGCATATTTTGTGCCTCCTCTGGATAAACGGTCACATCTTCCTTTAAACCATCGGCAAATTGTTCAACAGGGAAAGCGAAAATGTTTCCCTGTGTATTTGGTTGTTAAAATCCGCGAGTCCCGTATTAAATATCTGTTTTTGATTTACATTCTACAAATAAAAAAAAATCTACAAAACAACAATACATGTGAGCTGAGTAGGATGAAATCCAAATGAATAACAGTACATCTGTTAACCTATTTCAGGTTAAAAAAATCTATGCAAAGTCTATAACTCTTTCAAAATAAAGTTGATATAAGAACCCTACAAAAAACATCATCTTTTATTTCGCATTTGAATGTTCCAAAATCAATCAAAGTCTTATACATGTACATGTATACGTGCACTTGCAAATTTTAAGATTTCTATCTAACGCATCTCAATTGTAAATATATATTAGATTAAACTTCAAAACGTACACCATACAGTTGAAAACGTATCATATACAACAGTTAATATACAAAATTATTACATTTTACGCTCACATAACTGGCAAAGTTTTAAATATAGGACATTTAAAAAAAAACAAACAAAATCACATACCTGTGGATGAGCTGGTACATTTTCTTTATTTTGCTCATTATAAAACTTTATATGATACATTTGTTTGTAGTATGGACTAACATTTTCCTTTAAAAAAATAAACAGAATATTTCTTGTCATTCTGTGCACAATTTAACACTTAATATTTAACTTAACAAATTATGCAAAAGTTAACATGTAAAGATAGTCGTCTAATTTGTAGGTTATACAGTCATTTATGCAACAATAGGTTATACATTTAAAAAGGGTATTGATTTGTTGGTTAGAAACAAGTACTCTTAAATATTTAATGTGTTGTTTTTTGCGTGTGTTGGAGATTATAAACAAAGTAATACACAAGGCTTAAACATATATACTTGCAAAATAACAGTCTGTGAAAATGATGGTTCGGACACCACAAAATCATTTTCCTGTGTACAATCTGGATTTAAATTGCTATGATCTGCATTTACACCATCGTCTAGAATGTTCATTACCTCCGCAAATTAAAAACAAAAATTGAATAAAAAAAATAATTACCAAGATAATTAAACGTATTTTTGCATTCATTTTTATCACATATAAAACAAGTAATCGTATTGATTTTTAAAATTAAATTTATAAGTGAAATTTGTCTACTTTTATTAGTTTCAAGAAAAAAGTTTATCAATATATGTATAAAACTTACCATGTAAAGTAAGTTCCTCTTCAATATTATTTGTACTGGCGAATTGGTTTACACATGATGACTCAGTTAAGGACGATTGTTGCACATCAACAGATCTTAATTCTGGCAGTTCTTTCTCCGACTCGTTTTCATAAACATCTAATTCGGCATGCTCTAAAAAGTATAATTTTTTTTAGGAAGAAAAGCATAAGGTACCTATAAATACAAAGGTATGTTAAAAAAAAGATGCTGTTTGTATAATTCAAAGTTTTCAATTTTTATGGTGTAAAAAAAACCCTTGTTTAGTTTGTATTTTTTTATTTTTCGGACGTTAGGCAAGTTATAATCCATAATGAAATTCATAATGTAAAACTCTAGCGCACCATCAAGTTTAAAATTAAAAAAAATGCAATATTAATAATAACCCTAACCAAACTCTTACTTAAGACACAAAGCCTACGGGTCAGGATTGTTCATTTACACAGCCTAGACGGCACATTCTTACAGCCTACGGCGCTAGACAGCACATTGTCACATCCTACGGCCCTAGACGTAACATTGACACAGCCTACGGCGCAAGACGGTACATTAACACACTACGGCGCAAGACGGCCTATGGCGCTATATTGCACATGACACAGTCTGTGGTGCTAAACTGCACATTAACACAGCCTACGGCCCTAGACGGCTTATAAACAAAGACATGACAGAATATCAGTAATAAAAAATAAGAATAATATTATAAACAGCGCTAGACGGCACATGTACTTAGTCTACGACGCAAGAAGGACACATTTACATCGCATACTGCGATAGAGAGCAATTTGACATAGCCTACGGCCCTAAACGAAATATTGTCAGAGGATACAAGTTTTGATTTCAAAAAACAATTTTTATGTTATAATAAAAATGATCAGTTTTTTAATAACACGAGACCAACGTATTTGATTAATTCTTAATTAACCCAACCTCGAAAAATAATAATTTAAATAAAATTATTCAAGTAAAGAACAAACCTGATCATCAAGCGGCACAGCAAAATTTGGTCGACTGCAAAACAGCTGATATGGAGTCTTTGGACGTGTGGCCTTGTTTAATCTGTTGTTATATGCGTAATACAATTCAGTTAGTTGATCAGACCAGTCTGAACGATCTGACATTTTAATTCTACAATACTCAGTCAGTGTGCGATTAAAACGTTCCACTCTGCCCTGACTTGGAGGGTGGTATGGTCTACCATGTATTTGGACTGTGTCAAATTGTATTACAACTTCTTTAAGGTGCGAGTTCCGAAATTCTTTTCCATTGTCAGATTGTAGAATACGTGGAGCGCCATATAAATAAATGTAACCGAGTACAACTTTGCTTATTTCAGTAGCACTTTTAGTTTTACATGCTTTACCAAATGCAAATCTTGAGAATCAATCAACAATGTTACATATGTACTGAAATCCTTTATGAAGTGGCATCTATTTTAGGTCAATTTGCCATCGCGAATAAGGATAAGTTGCCGGTATTGGGCGTCTTGTTCTTTCTGTTTTTGGTAGAGATATTGCACTTTTACATTGTTCACAGTCCACGTAAAGATCAAAGAAAAGCTTTACGTTTTCCCTTACAATTGGAAAGACAAATCTTCTAATAGATTCATAAATGCTGTAAGATTTCCTGTGATCTATAGAGTGATTCTTTTTCACCAGGTCAAAACATTCCTCCTTTTAAAGACATGTTCTATGTGGAGTGGCTAAGTCGTTACTTTTTTGTACAAATGATTAGAACATAAGTCGTAAAAATAGTTTTCTAAATATTTTCGTACCATTCTATCGTTCAACTGTTCATTGCTAAACTTGATTAGTTTTGAAGATCCCCATTTCGGATTTTCTGCTTTTGATTTGCATATGGACACTACCTTTGCATAGTCCCTCTTAAAAACGCATCTAGATTAGGGTCCTTGGAAACTGTCCTCTTCTTTTCCTTTGACATTACAAAACCTTCATCTGGAATGGTGTTCAAATCTATGGGTTCCGCCATCGTTAACGGCGGCGACGACGTAATATGGCGTTATTCAATTGTGATATATTTTTATATTACTCTTATTCCCGGAAAATGTGTGTGGGTTATCCATGTTGGTGTCACATGGTCATTTTTGTATGATTGAATTTATTATTTACGATACTAACACTGCCTCTTATACTACTACCATACTGACATCGGAAAACAAAATGTATATATAGAAAAGGTCTACTTTGGGATGGAGTAGTCTGTAGTACTGTGTAATATGTTTGCTAATTCATGTTATATCTCGAATGAATGTATGATTCTAGTGATGCAACCGTTTCTTCTTGCTGTCTTTTTCCGTTACAATCTGTGTGTGTAAAATTTGCATAAATTATTTGAAACCGATTTAATCATTTTCTTTACCTGAGATAGACTCTTCCATAGAAAATAGTGTTGTTTGTGTGGGTTATCCATGCGGGTGCCACACGGTCATTTTTGTATGATTGAATTTATTTTTTACAATACTAACACTGCCTCTTATACTACTACCATACTGAAACAAAAGCAAAATGTATATATAGAAAAGGTCTACTTGGGGATAGAGTAGTCTGTAGTACTGTGTGATATATTTGCTAATTCATGTTATCTCTCAAATGAATGTATGCTTCTAGTGATAGTGATCCTAAAATGTGTAAGTTTAATGTATAATTATGCCCATGATAATTTTACATCCCAAAAATACATAACCATCCTTTGGGAGTACGTTTCCTTGTGAATCATAGTATAGATTTATCTACTCTGATTCCATTATTTGTATTTTGCTTTACTTTAGTTTTTTTTTTGGTTTTATTAGCTCTTCAACGTTTGCATTAGGTTTTGGATTTTCAAATTTCTTGGTCTCGAATATCAATGAAGAGACATTAATTATCGAAATTAGCATCTTGAGCAGTTACACGAGTACCGTTAAAGTTATTTAGGCTATATATCGAAACACCCACTACAGTAAAATAGTTCTGGATTAAAATAATCTTACAAAGATATAAGAAGATGTGGTATGTGTTTCAATGAGACAACTCTTTATCCAAGTCACAATTTGTAAAAGTAAACCATTATAGGTCAAAGTACGTCCTTCAACACGGAGCCTTGGCTCACACCGAACAGCAAGCTATAAAAGGCCCCAAAAATGACTAGTGTAAAACCATTCAAAGAGGAAAACCAACGGTCTAATCTATATAAAAAACGAGAAACACTAATGGATACTACAGATACAGTTAGGTCTGCCTCATATCTTGACTTACATCTAGAAATTGACAATGAGGGTCGGTTGAAAACAAAACTTTACGACGAAAGAGATGATTTCAGCTTCCCAATTGTGAACTTTCCATTTCTATGTAGCAACATTCCACCACCGCCTGCATACGGAGTATATATCTCCCAATTGATACGATATTCCCGGGCTTCTATTTCCTATCATGATTTCCTTGATAAAGGATTCCTGCTCACAAGGAAGCTATTAAACCAAGAGTTCAAAATGGTGAAGTTGAAATCATCCCTTCGTAAATTTTATGGACGCCATCACGAGTTGGTTGACCGTTATAGAATAACTGTTTCACAGATGATATCGGATATGTTCCTTATGTCGTAACTACAATACCCTTCCCTTTTCACGAATGTGACCTACCGAATTAGACTATTAACCGGATTTGTAAACACATAAGCAGCACGACGGGTGCCACATGTGGAGCAGGATCTGCTTACCCTTCCGGGAGATCACCCCTAGTTTTTGGTGGGGTTCGTGTTGCCTAGTCTTTAGTTTTCTATATTGTGTCTTCTGTACTATTATTTGTCTGTTTGTCTTTTTATTTTTGGCCATGGCGTTGTCAGTTTGTTTTCGATCTATGAGTTTGACTGTCCCTCTGGTATCTTTCGTCCATCTTTTATGAACCACATCAACAAACGACAACCACTGAACATCAGGTTCCTGACTTAGGACAGGTGCAAACAAATGCAGCGGGTTAAAACGTTTTTATAGGCGCCAACCTTCACCCTACCTGAAACAATAGTGTAACATCACAACATAGAAAGACACACTATAAAATATCAATTGAAATAGCTTAACGCAATCAAAAGACATATTAACAAAAACAAGTGAACATACACTGAACGAACAAATTTGATCTATGACACAATGTAAATACAATATTAATAAAACAAGGGGGTTAAATGTAAAACAATATCAGAAAGACAACCATAACCTTGGACAAAATGCCGCCAAATAAAATAACGTACACAGGTAAATAAAAATAATTTTGTTGTAAGGTATACATGGAGTACAGAAATATTTTTTACAAAATAAATAATTTTGTTGTTCCTACTACGAGAACAAAAGTGAAAATTTATCGTCATACCAAACACTTATCAAAAGTGGTATTTATTAAAAATAGTGAGACTAGATATAACACTGAATAAGTATAACATAAAATAACAAAACTGCATTACAAATTGTATCAACAGGTCAAATTAACACGAAAGTACGATTTGAGAGTACTCCAGTTACTGAAAGCTAGTTAAAAGCCAAAAAACAATTAATAATAAAAAACATGCATCATAGACTACAATCTACTAAAACACGTTCCAGGGATTTGGTGTTTTAACGTCAAGATCAGTCAAAGAAGACATGACTTGTGCAATGCCAAAATAAAAGTATCGACAGGCAGTAGGATAGTTTTGAGTTAACCTGTTAATAAATATGTATAATGTAAGAGTAATCTCTATATAGAAAATGAACGTGGATGTGTATTTATACATCCCAAAAAACAATTTGAAAAGAATACAAATTTAGTTATGTTTTAATTTGCTGATGACAAAATCGATATTTTTGCCAATGTAAACTATATTCAAAGATCTAATTACAACATTGGTAAAATAACCTTTACTAATAAGTTTGTTTAAAGGTTCGATGAGTTTACACGGATCACATGGTGATTTTCGCGCTTTTAGTACAATATTACCGTAAAACTTAGGATGTGAAATACCGTTTTTAATTAGTTTTCTACAGGTACAGCCAAATTTACTACTCAAATCTTTGTATCTATGAAAGAATTTAGTAAAAGTTTTAAGCAATTGATGGTAACGAAATCCCTGACTTAATAATTTAACAGTGATGTATTGATTACGTTCGTTTAAATCTATGACATCACTACACACACGAGCATAACGAACGAGTTGGGATATATAAACACCGTATGATGGAGCCAAAGGAACATCGCCGTCTAAAGAGGGAAAATTAACAATAGGGAATGAAAAATCGTCTCTTTTGTCGTAAATTTTAGTAAAGAGTTTCCCTTTAAAAATTGAAATGTCTAAATCTAGAATGAACACATGTCTAGTATTATTGTGGTGTTGGATTGCTGTTTCGTTCACGTACAATCTGTATATTTTTTTCCTTTCCAATGTATAGGTTAATTAGTAGATTTCATGTTACAATGTAAAAATGAACTTAATTCACTGGTTGCCATATTTTTTTTAAAAACATGAATCATATGTAATCTAAAAACAACCGTTGGCGAGTTCACATGACTCAAGTTCTGAAAATATTAATTTTCTAAAACATCTGTAGTCAAGAAAATATGCAGAATTTCAAATTGTTTTTAAAAGAGACATTGGTATTTAGGACCGCATGGGCAACATGTTTAGTCTTCGGCATGGTTTAGAAACAGCAATACATATCTAAGTAAATCATAATTAAGGAATGGCAATATCATCATTTAATATTTTGCCACTGTCAAATTAAAAATCAAATTGACGGTGGCTACTCGTCAAATACAATAGTTACATTCCTATGCAAATGCAATTCTTCAAAAATGTTTGAAATAAATATTGAATCATCCTGTAATTATAGACTATGAATGCGCACCGTTTTTTGCTAATGACTTCGAGGGTTAGCCATGCAGGAGATGTCAGCTACTCAAAAATGGCGGCACATAGCATTAGACTATTCCATAACTTATATCAAACAAGAGCTGATGTTTCAGTACAATAGCCGTAACTAAAAATTACAATGCATAGATACAAGTGTAAGTAGTTAAGTAGTTTGTGAAAATTAAAAAATGCCTTTTTTTAACTTTTATAGTGGGATCCCTTTGTCATCTATAATGAGAAAAGAAACGAATATACAGGATTTACCATGGATTTACTACATCATCTTGCTTTAGCCCTCAACTTCACGTACGTAAATTCTTTTCTATATTTGAAGTATAATAGATAATCTCAAAAGACCATAACATTATGGTAGGGTAAGGTCTTAATTTGTCATCGTTGTCGTCTATCCGTACTGTAGACTCTTGGGCTTTTGATTAGTTTGTTATCTTCAGTAAATCTTAAATCTACTTTCACTCATAACAGTTTTTTTTATTTTACTACTATTTGATGTGTTACTTCCATTTTAAAAAAAATGTAGGATTTCCACCAAATAAGCTTCTGCAAGAATTTATTATTGGTGCAATGAAGTATTGCCTGGAGAGATATCAAAGTATAGGATTTATTATGATATTGTTGACAAACACATCGTTGAAGAGTCTATTACTTCATTCTTTCATTACACACAAATTGTTTCCCCTTTACCAATTGTAGACTGGTTCTATACCAAACAAACTAAGCTGCTGTTCATGCAATGCCTGATAAGTTGTAAGTGATTTGTAGGCGTTTGAACCAAATTTCGTTGAAAAATAACTATATATCTAAAGTTTTAGCTAATCAAACGATAAATGTAATTAAAAGACTGAACAATTAAGAGATTACACACATTACGCACAGAAAGATAAATATGATCTTTTTGTTAGCTCTTCATTGCAAATTCTAACAGAAACAACTCACAAAATAAATCTCTAATCATATGATCAATCACGGAATTCATCAAATCTGGGAATCCCCTTCTTCACCTACACCAATAACGAAAGGGGGGACTTAAGAAAACATGAAATTCGTTATTTTCTCATTTGATATTGATATTAAACGGATCTTTTCTAATATTTGAATAGATGGGTGACTTAAAACTATGGTCTATTACAAACAAATTTTAGATTTCCCATTGGCAACTTCCGATGTATTAACAGTAACATACTATCTGTACACTTTCGTAAAATGCTTTCATAGCTTGGTTGATACATAACGCGCCTGCATGTTCACATTATACGAGACAAAAACTGCATTAGCAGGGTTATGAGAGCAAACGACTCAAATCGATACTACATAACTTTAATGGTCACCATCAGAAATTGTTTGATTGATACTATACGCGAATGCGTATTCGATGGAGATGATATGCATGTGTATGGAGGTTACATACAACATATTATGTTAATGTTCTAACAATAATAATGCCGTCATGATACACTTTTAAAGAACGTTAACTTCTGCTAAATGTATAATTAGTTCGTTTTGGAACAATTTCAATTTCAATAATTTTCACCTGAATTAATTTTATTCTTAAACATTTCAAAATACATTTCAGATATGAAATAACACGACCCCCTGACGGAAAATGGGGTGCTCAGATGGAAAATGGATCATGGAATGGTTTAATGGGTCATCTTGAAAGACGGGTAAGAAGAGTTTGAAAGAAAACCTTTTGTATCATTCATATGAAAGGTATTGCTAGTTTCATCATGGACAACTGATGAAAAATAATATACGAATAAATTCCCAAAACAAATGATCATTGCTAGTTGTAGTTTGACAGTCGCAATTTAATATTTGTGGATGTTGAATGATATGAATTACATACAATATTTTTTATATGTGAGTTTTTTCTTCCACGTGTGATAAAATGCACTCCTAATACTGAAAAGCATTGTAAGCTACGAATTTATGAAGCAAGGTTTAAATTTTTTGAGGTAAAACAACTACGTGCGAATACCTGCTCAATCATGTGTCATTTATTTCTAATCGGTTTGCATTATGATATTAAATTAATTAAAGTGCCAAAAATACCCATATAGTAGGTCGTACGATATAGTAGCAGGCGTAAGAAAAAACGAATTGAAAGCATTGACAAGTGGCAATATCGTTTATGGAGGAATGGTAAATATTCTTCAAACTACAAGTCATGAGACACTTTCATTTTAATGGAATAAATTTTAAATCATTATAAAGGAAAACGACGGTAAATGATATAAGTTTCTTATATTTTCAATGATCTAACAGGTAAAGTTTAAAGCAAGACATACAAATACAGCAGAAAAGATCGACTCTGCCTACCCATACCGATGCTGCTAAAAGTATACGGAAATTCAAAACATACGTAAATTCAATCTAAATAATAAGTATTAAATTAATCCTTAAAAAGGAAGATGATGGTTGGTGATAATTCTTTTTTTATATAAAAAATATACAAAACAGATAAAGTTGAGGGCACAATCTAGCACAAGGAATAAAAAGACACAGAGGACATAGGACATAATATTTGCCCAGATAATATATATCATAAAATAGCTGTAGTTGAATTCAGATGTTCATGATTTATTAAATTAAATTAAATGAGTATTATATTTACTATTTCAGGATGTAGATCTAGTTGCAGCTCCTGTGACTGTTCAAATCACCAGGGAAAATGCTGTCGATTTCACAATTCCCTATTTTTATGACTCTCCAGCTATTTTGTTGAAAAAGCCGGATCCGAATTCAAAAAAATGGAGGACATTAATAGACCCCTTTAGCGAATATGTAATTTTGTGTATATTCATTTCCCTCCCAGTTACCTCACTTTTTTTGTTTTTCTTCGAAAAATGTACTCCTTACTATAGAAGAATGGAAGATAGAGATAAAGTAAGAGGATTGCATCATTTCTTGGACTCCCTTTGGTATATGTATGGTGCGTTGTTAACACAAGGTAACTACACCGTTAACGAAGGTAGGACCTATATTTTCCTTCATAATTGTTATTATTCTCGAATTCAATTTATATTTATATAAATTAAGGTGTTCGATTTTCATACTTTAGCTGTCCGTGGATATGATTTATGAAACTCTAAAAACATTGTAGCTTGACTGTTGTGATTAGGTACCTTTTCATCTTTACTTTTATGTTACTGCCCCGCGATGTGCCGACAATGAGGAAAATAATAATAGACTTCCTCCGTCCGTTACTCTCCCACACACACTATTCTGTTTAGACCGATTACTCAATTGAATGCTGTTTGTCTGTAGACAAATATTATATGCATATTCTGGACGAAAACAAATTAGCAATAAAAAGGTATGTGAAGGGTGTGGATATTGAATCCACAGAAAAATGACAGTATGCCTGATATTTGCGGAAATACTCGACTAGCAACAGGCTGCATATGGTTCCATGAAAAACGTGACGTACAGAATGCGTGGCCCTCATACCACATCCACGTTCCTGCTGGACGTGGCTACGTATTTTTATATCCCACATTGCCATAGGGATACCCCTCGTATGCTTAAATGTTTACTGGCGGCCGATTTAAGAAGAGTATGGATAACCGTATTTCTATACACAAGTAAACCATTCTGTTTGTTTTAATGCTTTCTTCGATGATATTAAAACAAGGTTTAATACATTATATCTCGCAAATACAAAAATCAAAATGTTGATGAAGTATGGTCTATTACCAGTTATAGTAAACCATACTACATCATACTTTTGATATTGATTTGCCAGATTATATAAGTGTAACCATGTCTTAATATAATTGCATCGTACTCATGGTAGTATTATGACACTGTGGAAAGGCAGCTTTTTGCTTCCATACTAATAGCATAGCAAAATAACTGTTTATCATCATGTGTACTTGATCATACTACGATGCTATTTCAAAATTGTTTCGGAATTATAGGACTACGACTTTCCTTGATTTGTTGTACCATGATATCTTGTAAACGCTGCTTTTTTCTGACACCGAACGTCTAAATCAAGACGGCAGTAGTTTGCTGGTCTTCAAATCTCGTAAATCGATTATAAAGAAACAAATCAAGGTACCAAACAGAATCCGATAGAACCGCATGAACTCCAAAAAGAGCAAGACCGGATGCGTCGACAGGGTAAGCGTCTCTTGCTTTGCATGCATCACCCGCAATGCGAATTCACACTCAGTCTAAGAATAAATCGGGATTAGGACACAATTGGTAAAATTAGCGATCAGACGACTATACTGGTATCTAAAGATCTAAGGCTGCAAAAGCATGTCGCTAGTGAGTTGAGATACCAGCTCATCGTATCGGTTAACTAATTTGTGATATAATGTCGATTTTGATCAATCTTCCTCATAACTATGTTGGAACAGTTTTCGTATAACGACTAAAAACCCTATTAATGAAGTCATTATAGTTTGAACATGCACGAGATATGTTAACACCATCCGATCGACCTGAAGGTACGTCACTGCTGAGAAATGGAAAGTTGACAATTCGAAAGTTGAAGTCATCACGTTTGTCATAGATTTTGAGTCGTATATGAGTGTCAATATCGATGAAAGAGTCACGCTATGTACCAGACATTCTCTGGTATATATGAGATATTAAAACTTTTATATACAGGTAGTCAGGTTTGACGAGATAAAAGATTATATGGACATGATACTTGCTACATGATATACCTATATATGAGTTTACTGTAGATGAGCCGAACCATAAAATTGATCGTTCTTCGACCTGTTTGTTTGCTTAATAATTCTTTATTTCAATGTAGTCAGAAAATAATCAATGTTTCTTTCCGGTAAATCGTTCTGCTTATTGTTCATGGTAATGAGAGATGTATTGAGAAAATCAATTAATTTTTTTAGTACAAATATATATATATATGCAAAGAGAACTTTCGACAAACACGAAACAGGATAGTATTCAAGGTTGTAAATTGCAAGAACACTTACCAGTAAATCAGTTTGTTTGTGGGAGGGTTTATTAGTTCTTCACATTTTGAATAAAAATTGGGATTTTTGATTGTTTTGGCCTGGAGCATCGCTAAATTTACAATCATTATCAAAATGAGCATCTGGTGCAGTAAAATTGGTACCTTTAATGTTATAATAAATGGATTTGTTCCTTATTTTCTAAACATAGGTGGTGAACATATGGCAGGTTCGTCTTCAGGTCGTACGTTATTGAGCTCTTGGTGGATATTTTGCATAATTATGATGGCGACATACACCGGTAACCTCGTGGCCTTCCTTACTGTAACCAAAGAAAAGCTGCCTTTCTCTGATATTGCTGGACTTGTAGAACAAGGCAGTTATAAATGGGGAACACATGAGGGAACTATCTTTGAAACAATTTTCAAGGTAAAAGTTACAAAATATCAAAAAAGATTTTGCACAAAGATTTTGACGAACAAGAAGGTAATACCTTCATGTACCTTGTAATTTATTATATTTTTATAGCATATTAATACTTTTCTTTATTTTATTAAGTCACTCTTAGCTCACTCTAAAGGGCCAGTGTGGGCTTTTCCAATCACTTTCCGTCCGTCGGCAGTCGTCGTTATCCCTCGTAGTTCATTAACTTTTACATAAATCTTATCCTCTTATACAACTTGGCTAATTAGACAAACTTGGTCGAAATCATCATTGGGGTATCTAGTTTTAAAAAAAATGTCTCCGATGATCCTGCTTTACAGCCAACATGGCAAAAAAAAAAGCACTGGGGTAAAATGCAATTTATGTATATTATCTTGAAAACCGCTTTAGATATATACAATCTGAAAAAGCAGACATTATGGTCATCGGTACAAGAAAGGCAAAAGATACCAGAGGGACATTCAAACTCATAAGTCGAAAATGAAATGACAAAGCCGTGGTTAAAAAAGAAAAAAGACAAACAAAAGTACACAAAACACAACTTAAAAAAAATAGACTGAGCGACACGAACCCCACCAAAACTGGGGGTTATCTCATGTGCTCCTGAAGGGTAAGCAGATCCTGCTCAACATGTGGCACCCGTCGTGTTGCTAATGTTAGTAAAAACCCGGTAATAAGTCTAATTCGGTAGGTCACATTCGTGAAAAGGGGACGGGATTGTAGTAGGATATCATTCGTTAATATAAATCAACGTGCAGACATCTTATTCGTTCAGGTATTTCACATCCAATCTTTTATGGTAATATTCTATACGAAGCACAAAAATGTCGTCATTCACCTTAAAAGCTAACCAAACCTTTAAACAGACTTATTCAGAAGGGATATAGTTACGATACTGTTGACAGGTCATTAAAGATGTCATTTCTTGGAATTAATATTGATTCACTCATAGGGTCCTTGCATCGGAAAATAACATATTTATTCTTAAACCAGTTGTTGGCATGATACGGGTTATGTTCTTCTCATATATTTTATAATGGTATGATACTAATCCCCTAACGGGAGGGATTGTGCTTGATTTTTATATGATAAAGACAATATTTTTCAATCAGTTTAATTAAGGTCTGGAGCTGGCATGTCAGTAACTGCTAGTAGTCCTTTGTTAATTAATGTATCATTGTCATTTTGCTTAGTTTCTTCTGTTACCTATTCTGACATCGGTCTCGGACTTCTTTTAAACTGAGTTTCACTGTTGTTTAGGGGCCAGCTGAAGCCCGCCTACGGGTGCGGGATTTTCTCGCAGTGTTGAATACCAATTGGTGGCCTTGGACTGTTTCCGCTCTTTAGTCGGTTGGTGTCTCTTTGACACATTCCCCGTTTCCATTCTCAATTTTATGTTTCGAATATTGAGATCTACCTTCTGTCTATTTACATTAAAGCTGTCAGACGACAACTGAAATGAGTTATAGCCCTTATATGACAAATTTGACAATTTTTGCAATCTTTAAAACTCTAGTAAATAGAAGAAAAACTTTTAAAGAAAAAATGATCAGCAAGTCAAGGTCTATGAATAATCCAACGTGGCCGAAATCGTCACACAAATGCTTACAAAAGATCTTGTTCTAAAATGACAATCTTTACAATTTGTTTGCCTATTATCACGGAAATTGTAATATATATGTAGGACTCGATGGTAATTCGAACAGCGATGGGTACGCTGGTTTGACGCTGAGGTGCTTTTTTGGTCACACTGAAGTGCGATGGTGGCATTGTGACGCTATCTTGTTGAAAGCTACGCCGGCAAATTGTGTTTATGGCAACGCTGAAGTGCAATGGATTACATGAAATATATTTTCATTTTTTGTTCTTATTCACATGTCTGAAAGGCGATGTAGAAAACAATTTGTTTGTTAGAACCATTTTTTTGGGTTTTTATCAGTAAATCATCGAGAGTGTTACCAATTTAATTTAAGTTTAAAACAGTCACTATAAATATTCTTTGCGTTTCAAGTCATAACTGCATCGTTGTCGTTTACTTTGTAAATTGGCTTGTACAAAAATAAGCAAAAGTTCATACGATCGTTTAGAAATTGACAACTATATATTTCTTTTCCATTAAACGAAAAATCATGGTAATTGTTTGAAATGCAAATACTACTAGATTAGTTGGGACGAAACAAATGAAGCAACGCATCTATTCGGCTGCTGTGAATGAGAGCGAGTAATAAGGTAGATCACGTAAATGGTTTAAAATGCAGCTGTATAAAATATGGAGCGTTTGGTTTTTATATACATGTACTTACTAGTAAAATAAATCCAACTCTCATAATAAATGCACATCTATAGATTTTTAACTAGATTCCAAGCGTCATATAGACCAACACTCTTCAGTGTTCCCATCGCATCTCCGAGTCCTACAAATATAGAATATTTAATAACTAAAAAGAAAAGCAAGACAAAAACTATTTAAAAGTCAACATGGCGCAAAATCGTCAGTCGGCTTCTTATAGGTTTTATTGCCCTTAAATGTAAAATTATACTCATTATTTTGCTATTATGCCTTTTATCTTGAAAAGTTTTATAGATAGATTGAAATTTAAATAACAAGACAAGAACAACAAAACAAGATCTACAAACGAGGTAACATGGCCTGAATTGTTAGTTAACTCGATATTGGAGTTGTTGCCCTTTAATGATTATTTTTTATAGATATTTTGTTTTTGTCAATTATCTTCAAAAAGCAAAAATGACTAACAAAAAACGTTAAAAACCAAAAATGATAAACAAAACAAGATCTGCAAATAGGTCAGCATAGATAAAATTGTCAGTTGTCTGCACATAGTCAGGAGTATGACAATTGGTTTTCATTCTTTCAGTTGGTTGATATAGTCAAGCGTGTGATTTTGTCAGGTTTAATGGACTTCCCCCCGTTTTGTATTTTCCTTGAAATTCGGTAGTTTTGTAAACACTTTTCTTCTTAAAGACGTAATTGGCCAAAAATGATAATTTTTACCCTTTGTGTGCTTCGTGCAAAATATAGAAAAATTGTGAAAAACTGTAAACATAAACAAAAAATGATCAGCAATACAGGATAAAAAAAGGAAACAAGTCATGCATTTTTTTTCAGTCTACAATGTAAGAAAGTTTCCATTATTGAAGACGAACATAGACCTAGGTGAGCGACACAAGCTCTATAGAGCCTCTTGTTAATGATGTCTTTACAAAATTGAATTCAGAACGTTCGGCACTTTTTACTTAAGATATATATAGAATTCATTGTAGAATCAAATAAAAGCAGATAACAACGAAGATATCATGCAATTTCTAAACATTCTAAGAAAAAAAAAACAATTTCGAATTAACAAAACTACAAGCAAATGACATACCCTTTCAAATTAGCATACATTAAATGTAAAGCATAAATTATTGAAAATACTACTCAGTACATCAGGTTCACATCATCAACCAAATTTGGATTTTCGAGAGAAAAAATGATGTGCAGTCAAAAACAACAATGTATGGTTCAGATAGCCTGAAGTGATATTTTATTGTGTATAAAGTGATAAAATAATCGGAAAACTAACGTTTTCTACCTCCAGACATATATTGTCTTATCCGTATTTGGAATACAACTTTTCAGAATTTTTCGATTTGCAATGCTCCTCAACTTCGTTTCTGATTTGGCCTTCCGAGTGTTTTGATTTGCTTAAGTCAGCACTTATTTTCATGCTTCGACAGTTCAGTTAATTTTGTTTTAATATTCTTATATTAAAAGGCATCCACTCGACCAGATTATGTAAAGTTTTGGAAGGGAGTAGTTACCTACAATAAAACGAAACCAAGAATCCTAAGTGCGGATCCTAATGTTCAAGTACGGCTTGTAATGGAGGGAGATTATGCATATGTTGGTGACAAAACTCAAATGGAATTAGCTATGGTTAATAATTGTCATCTGGCGATGGCTCTTTCGGATATTGTTTCACTGCAATACGCAATAGCACTTCCGAATAAATCTCCATTCACTAAGATTTTTTCTGATGAGTAAGTAATTTTTAAAGATAAAGTTCGAAATCATATTTCTGATAAATCTAAAGTGATTGTTACGAAATGCAACCATCTCCCCAGTTAAACGCTTGGCAGTAATCAGGGTACTGATTATAAAGTAGTCAATTAGTCGATATTTGCACGATGCATAACATAATTTCTATGTTTCCCATCTGATAAATTACGAAATTATGAGGAAACTCAGGTTCAAAATCTCCCGGGAAAAGTTGACCTTAGATGGCTTTCAAATATTACGATTTGAGCGTTGCTGGTGACGATTAATCCAGAAAGCACTTCGGACACATGAAAATACATAAAGTAGTACAATGTAATTGTTTTGAATGAAACTGGCTATCTTTTTCCCATTACTCCCTCCATGTATATATTTAGCAATGTATCTTCCCATTGGCATGTAGAGGATTACTAACACTGAAATTGACGTTACTTAAACTTTAAAAAAAAATTACATCAACGTTAAACAAAGGAACCGTAACATCATTTTACACAGGTCGAAACTTTTGATAAATGCTACAGTCAGTCAAAATGTATGATTGTCTAAAATAATAAACTTCACTATTTTGATTTTAGAATGACTGCCATTTTTGGGAATGGATTATTACAGAAGTGGAAGTTAAAACACTGGCCGAAACATGGGATTTGCGACAATATTGGCCGCAAAGAATCTACACCAATAACTCTAATAGATATACATAGTTCATTTTACGTGGTAGCCATTGGTGTTTTCATCGCTTCAAGTTTTCTTATATGTGAATGTTTTAAATGGAGATATCATAGAAAGAGATCGATGCAAGACAAATCAAAACAAACAGCACACGAAACTGACCTCGTAAGGATGGAATCAAATCTTGAAAACTCTATGATATACTAGAGAACTTTTTATTAAATCAATCAAGTTGGATTAATAAAATAACGTTTGAAAACGTTGAATGTGTTACTGTGACAAATATATTACTGTGAATTAGTAATAGACAGTTTGTTTAGGGTTAAATGCAGGTAAATGAGGAAAGGAACTTTTATATTGATAGATAATTTATATTTATTTTCTGGCTATTAGTTATTGTAATTGTATTAAAAATTTAGATTGCAAAATGTCCTAGGCAATAAATTGTATTAAAAGTAATATTGCAAAAGTCTTAGGTATTGAATTGTGTAAAAACGTAGATACAAAAGTCTTAGACAATGAGTTGTATTAAAACTTAGATCGCAAATGTCTAAGCCAATTAATTTCTTTAAAAAGTAAGATGGCAAATGTAGTTCGCAAAGATTTAGTTATCTGTTCTATTGTGACTCTGATGCTCACGTAAAACTTTTATGTATTTGACTCATCAGACTTTCGGTATAGAGTATGACTAAGATTGCAAAAGTCTTGTGCAATGAATTGTATTAAAACTTAGATTTCCAAACTCATAGAGAATGAGTTGTATTTAAAACTTAAATCGAAAATGTCTTAGCCAATAAGTAGCTTAAATGTAGTTCGTAAAGATGTAATTTTCTGTCTGTTCTATTGTTACTCTGATGCTCACGTAAAACTTTTATGTATTTGTCTCACCAGCCTTTCGGTAAAGAGTATACCTGATCAAGATTATTCAAGACAAACGTGTCAATCGTACTGAAATTATTATGCAGCTTATATATTTTTTCTTAATATTCTGGTTGTTTTGTGTATATGAAGTCTGGGCGTGATAGTTTCATTACGTTGATGGTCTAAAAGGCTTTCCATAGCACCCTTATAAGACTCTTTCATCTTGCAATAGTATTAAAACATTTGACTGTTCTACACTTTACACAAGTATTCCCAATTTCAAACTAAAAGACAAATTGAAAGAGTTGGTCCTGCTTTGTTTCATAAAAAGGAATGGCCAACGTAGATACAAGTATCTTGTCTTAGGGAGGGATAAATCCTTCTTTGAAAAAAAACACTCTGATTCTAACAATAAATTCTTTGAAATTGACCTTATCAAGATGCTTGATTTCTTAATTGACAACATAGTTGTTACATTTGGAAAATCGTCATTCCCATGGGATCCAACTGTGTCCCTCTTCTTGCCAACTTGTTCCTTTATTCATATGAGGCTGATTTCATACAGGAACTTCTTACGATGAAAGAAAAGAAGTTAGCAGTATCCTTAAACTTTACTTTCCGCTACATAGATGATCATCTCTCACTAAATAACTCAAAATTTGGTGACTATGTTGAACGCATCTATCACATCGAACTTGAGATAAAGGATACAACAGATAGAGTTAAGTCTGCCTCATATATTGACTAACTTCTAGACATTGACAATTAAGGGTCGGTTGAAAACAAAACAATATGACAAAAGAGATGATTTCAGCTTCCCAATTGTGAACTTTCCATTTTTATGTAGCAACATTCCAGCAGCGCCTGCATACGGAGTATATATCCCCCAGTTGATACGATACTCCAGGGCTTGTATTTTCTATCATGATTTCCTTGATAGAGGGTTGCTGCTCACAAGGAAGCTATTAAACCAACAGTTCCAAGTGGTGAGGTAGAAATCATCCCTTCGTAAATTTTACGGACGTCATCACAAGTTGGTTGACCGTTACGGAATATCCGTTTCACCGATGATAGCGGATATGTTCCTAATGTCGTAACTACAACCGCGTCCCCTTTTCCCGAATGTGACCTACCGAATTAGACTTATTACCAGGTTTTTACTAACATGAGCAAGACGACGGGTGTCACATGTGAAGAAGGATCTGCTTACCCTTCCGGAGCACCTGAGATCACCCCCAGTTTTTTGGTGGGGGTTCGTGTTGGTCAGTCTTTCGTTTTCTATGTTGGGTTTTGTGTACTATTGTTTGTCTGTTTGTCTTTTTTCTTTTTTAGCCATGGCGTTGTCAGCTTGTTTTCGACTTGTGAGTTTGAATGTCCCTTTGGTATCTTTCGCCTCTCTTTTATAGCTAAGAGAAAGTCCCGATGCTGTCCTTTCTTTAAAAATATCAAAGTGAAGGCCCCTAGGGTACCCTTACTAAATTTTTTTCAGACAAAGATTCGTATCAGAACTTTAACACACCTTAAATAATGAAAAAACATTTTTAATGATTTTATTGATTTTGTAATAGTTTTCCTTCATTGTCTTCATGTTGTACCCAATATTCCTGTCGCTATTTTTTTAGACAAAGATGATCATCTTCTGTCTAACTGATTTATTTCTGATCAGTAGTGAATATACTTTATCAAAATATCTTGAATAAAGTGCAGCAATGATAATTTTCTAGGTACCGCTGTACTCGAGATTAATTACTCGTTTATGTTAAGGAAAGCAAAGCGTTAGTCTGGGTGTTTTAACATTTTATCAGATGAAATAAAAATAAGACAATAAAAAGGTGATTATCAAGACTGGTGCATACATTTCATTTCTTTTTAGCTTTGTTTGTTCATGAATAATCGTAATTTTGGTGGATTATCCTCAATTTAGATATTATTCTATATTAGATATATACTGACATAGACTAACTGATGTTGTATGTCCGTTTCTCCAGCATTAATGTTTTAATGATATTCGAGGATATTTTTTGCATATAAAATCAAAAAATTTGATGACTATATAGTAATGTAACCTTTTTTTATGTAAAGGATATAAGCCGATAACAGTCCATTCTGTAAAATATTGGACTGTGACCGAAGACCTGTCCAATATTTTACAGAATGGACTGTTAGAGGCTTAAATCTTACTTAAAACATTGTTTAACATGTCAAAAAAAGGTGAAAAAAGCAAACAAATACAAACTTTTGTAAAGCTTTATTATCATCAAGTGTGTAAATTGTTTTGTGGATAAATTTTATTTACATTATCCTACATGTTGGTCCCTTTAAACAGTAGCTCAACCTAAACAATAGGCAAAAATAAAGTACAGCTGAAGGTAAACAACATGTATTGCTACATGTTTATGAAGACACAGTGTATGATATCATGCTTTTCTCGTGCGCTATGATTACTTTATATATTTTCCATGAATACCTTCTTATGTGTTTGGTGTCTCAAAATGGATAAAGACAATGAAAGTATATTCTTAATGCAAAAAACGAAGAAAGTGATGTCGTAATTAGTGATTTTGTTGTTTCAAACTTTGGATCAAAATCAAATGTGTATTCAGTTATAATCGATTTCAGTGCGGACAACGAAGAGGATATAGTTATAGAAGCTAATGATGCCAAGTTTTATACATATATTGTAGTCCTCTCCTATTACTTTCTTTTATCTTTTGGGATTTTATTTCTTATAAGGTGAAAAAGAAAAACATATGAAAACAGGTTCACGTTGAAGAAAAAGGTTCAACAATATCGAGTGCACCGCACTCGATTATATTTCAAATAAAACACTATACAAGTTTGACCTTTCTAAAAAGGTGTGGACTGCTTCGCTCTATCCTAATTTAAAGTAATATGTGTGCATGTGGTTGTTGATTTAGTATTGAAAATGTGGTATTTTTAGATATTGATTGATATAAAATGGATGTCTTAGACTTGGAATATCAATTTTTGTATATATATTAAGATGAACTTTTCTGAAATTTTAAACTGGCTGTTCAGTGTTGGGCGTTATACACCCATGCTTTTTAAATTTTGTTCACTTTACTTGTTGAAAATTTATTCATTTACAAATAGACACGACTCTGGAGGTGTGCCTAGATTGGCAGAGGTTATAAAATACAGATAATGCATTTTTGTAAACATTATATAGGTTGCACTTTGTAAATCACGTGTGATTTGCAAGTTACGCCTCTTTTGGGGAGAAATTGAATATGCATATCAATACTGCTACTGTTTACATAGCTGTTGCCATGTATGCAAACTATTTTTTTTTTAATTAAGACTTGATTGGAGAATTAAATGGATATAAATAAAAATGTCTATTTATTTAACTTATTTTTCAGGAGGACTGGAAGACATTTGGGTGTTGAGTCAAATTTAATGGAAAAATTCTGTGCGATCCTGCAATGTTTATACATGGAGGCCAGTAAAACTTGAAAATATGCCGCACAGCTATATGTTTTTATTGGTGCAAAAAAAAGTAGTGCATATCTCCTTTTCAGGGAAATATAACATTCTCCTCAAAACTTCCTGAATGAAGTGTGACTGCATATGCATTTTATGCAGTTCCTATGGAAAATTGCATTGCTGGTTTTACACAAGTGCAACATATAGGAACATTGTTTAGCAAAACAAATCGTGCAAATTGCAGATTAACAAAAACAAATAAACACGTTTTAATAATTCATATTTAAATATTGAATTTCAGTGTGCAATATATGCATAATAAAACGAACATGAATTAATGACAGTTGATCGGAACTGAAATACTTAGTACACATAGTTAATTTTCCGGCTTTTGATGTCTTATCCTGAGACGAGAAAGTCTGTAATTCTTTATCTCATTTAAGCCAATAGCTGTTGCTGTATCCCAGCCGCATCATAAAGCAACCAATCAGAATCTATATGTGATTAGTAATTATTTCAAGATGGCGTGTATATCGACTGAAACTAATAGCTCAGCACCGTGATGCGAAGCAAATATATAATGAATGAACACAAATGAAGAGATAACAAGCGTGCAACCAATTTAAATTATTTTGTGGTTCATCGGAATTTCCCCATCTTAAATTATTTCAATGAATTTTAAGAGAATTATGATCCAAATATTATATCTTTTATCTAAAAAAATAAAAATTAATATAGTTATCATATCTAAATTCATCGCCATGAAATGTCCGGAGATCTATAAATCGATCAGACCTATTCACCTACTTTACATGAAAAAATATATTTATTCTCAATTTTCCAGTATGGCAGTATGACGCATGCCCCTTTCCTTCCTCGTTCACCAAAATGTATCTCGACTCGGTGGTTGTAGAGACGGTTATTGTTTACCCAAACGGTACCACTTGAATATCCCCCTATTTTCTGTTTGTTCAGCAAGGTCGTGTCGCTCTTTTTTTCGTTTATTTGCGTAATGATGTCCCTTGTGTTTTGTTTTTCATGTTGACTGAAACATAATTTTGTCTCTCGAATTCCCTTTGCAAATATTTATTTTCTTTTTTTTCTTTCAAAACAAAGCATTGTAGGTGTACATATCTTTGTTTCTGTGCGTAATGTATAATTATTGCCTTCAATAAAATTTACCTCTGAGATCTAAACTAAAGTGAAGTGTCTTAAACTGTTTTGAAAGTAAATTGGAAAGAAACAAATGTAATTCGTATTTTGATGTTATATATAGTAAAAATACTTTTATTAAACCCCCCTTCTTCAATCAATTCAATGCAGGAAAGGGTTTAATATTCAAATTTATATAACACAATCAAAAACTGTCTAAAAGATTTTCAACAAATATATGATTAAAGCTAGCACCTAAGTTTTTCTACAAGAGTGTACATCGGTTTAAAAAAATGATCACCACGAACGAAGTGCGAATCGGACACATGATTGATTTGTTTAACAGGTAACATGCGGTAACGTGTTCCTTTATTCTGCTTCCCATATTCATCGTCATTGATAAGCCAAGTTTCACATTATATTCCTAAAATGAATAAAGAGGCAATAATATCAGATAAAAAAAAAAAAATTGTAAATCAACGCCGACACCTGAAAATTATAAAATCTATTGTAGTCCCCTAGTTCATGAAGCAAGTTCTAAATTTGCACTTTTTACACAGGTTGAGGTTTAGGTTGTTAATCAAATTCTTGATTAGACATTTTGTCAAAGGAACAATGTGTAGCTTGCACATCAACACTTGGTAAAACGTTTACTTTAGATGAACGATTTTCTCTTGATTATGATAATACAATTATTTTACTTGTGGTCCTTGTATTGCGGTATGATCTATCAAGCGTTAGAAGCATTATTTTTTTTTCCATTTTAATTGTCGCTGAAAATGATTTTAGGAAGAATGAGAGCAACACCAGAGGTCGATTTTTATATAAAAAAAACGGACGAGGATAAATCTTTTGCAAAAAGAAATACTTAAAAGCAACAAAAAAAAATTTGCAACGAGCATTATCAACCAAATAGGTGCGAGAGGAGGCAACCCAAAACGTGAGATAAATGACTGTGAAATAAGTATTGGCAGTGTTAAAATCAATTTGATTTTTTTCTCAAGAAACCGTCTTGATGAGTGACAAAATTATTGTATTGAAGATGACTTTAATAAAATGTTTTTGTGTAATTGTCCTTTGTTCTTTCGTTGTATTTTTTTTTCACATGAAGAAAACGATTGTGGGAATTGATTGTTTTTTTCAGTTATTGAACTATTATTTACCTGTAAGAATCAATTATGCTACCTTCAGCAGCAATATTTTTTAGAAAGAGGAGGGTTATTCTTAAAAATATTGGACAGGTAAAGGTAACACAATGGTTTCTTACAGGTAAATGATAGTCCAATCACTGAAATAAAGAACGGGTACAACAATAGAATGACGTCTCAACAATGTTTTAATATAAATTATAAGTTATAAAAAATTCTGGTATATGTTCTACATATTTTGATGACATTAAAAAGGTTAAGTTATCATCTTATAATTAGATACTTGGGTTTCTTTAGTCATCTTATCTCCTTCATAAAAGATTTTTACGGTAACGTATACTGCTAGGAACCTGTAACTCCTAAGTTTCTTAATAATTTCTTGATTTATTTGCAAGGTATTTTAGGAAAGTATATTATAACTCAATTCAGTACCGAAGCAAATGTATCACCCCAGTGCTTGTAAATGAAAATAATACTTAGTAAAACTTCTTGTGTCGAAGGAGAAGGAATTGATATTTACGGCCGTGTTTACTCCAAATTTTTTTGATATAGACACACCTGAAACCTGTGCACCTGAAAGAATTATAATACCCATAATGACCTAGATAGATAACTTTTTATGCATTTTAGGTTTCAACAAGTCAAAAGATTTCCTGGATTTTAATTTCCATTGCTGCTCTTCCTACAAAAGGTGCCATAATAATGCAATATAGGAAAAACATTTTCAAGACGTTACCTTCCTGTAATAATTGTAGTGAATTGTATTGATTGAAATGGACAATACGTACAGATTATCGGGTTTTTCAACATATTGATATCGTAAAATATCATCAGTGATCCACAATGTGAACCCTTTTTAGACAGTGAGCGTAGCGGACGAGCAAAAAAAGCTTCACATTGTGTCGACCGACTGATTTTGCAATATCTATGAATAGAAAAGATCCGATAATCTGTATATTGGTCTATTACTGGTCTTTTCACCTCCCTTATACAATTTTACGCTTGACGAAAGTAAACAAGATAATGTCTCCAGACACATTGTGACGTCGCTGATAACTTTTTCTTTAGACATTATGACGTCGTTGACAATGTCTGCTGACGCCTCACTTGTGATGTCACTATGACATCATAAACATTACTAAATTGACGCAATTGACCTCAAATGGCCATTTCACGCATGTATTTTTTTGTTTTTTGTTTGTCAAAATATATGAGCAACAGCTTTTCCCAAAAGGTATTTTACACACATTAACATCTTTATAAAATACATTTAGTAGCAGAATATATACATTTGGGTATAGCTCTTGCTCATACGTAAGTGTTAATGACAAGATCTCAAAATGAGGTTATGTTGACAATTGTTGCTGTTTTCCACTAAATGTAAGAAGTGTTAAGCCCTTCTGTCAATATGTAATGCAAAATTAAAAAAAATAAATATTGTATTGATAACCGACTGATATTATAGTGTCTAAATCACTTTCTGAAGGATGTTATTTGGAAGAATTGCAATACTTTTTGATTTTCGAAATCATGGGACCTCCTTTTGAGGGGAAGTGAATATTTGTTCTGTTTTAGAAAATTGTCTAGAGTGCGTGTCTTGAGACTGCATTTTGTTTCAACAAAAAAAATATGTGATTATTCCTGTTTTAAAAAGGAATAAACATTTATTTACCGCAAAACTATCATTGGCTCTTTCAAATGCAAAATGTGGTCTGTGATTTTCCCACAATGCATCTTGTTTACAAACGGAAATATCGCTACTCCACATGAGAAACTGTTTTTCCGATATGCACTTTCCATAGACTGTCATTTAGGCCAATATAATTTCTTATCTGACATTCCTTCATTTGATGTGGTGGTTTATAAGGTCCATATGTCAAGAGTGTTTGGGACAGATAAGCGTGTTTGTCATTGCATTGGTTTTTGTACTGCGTATTTTGAAAGGTGTAAGTTTAAGTAAAAATGTTTATATATACGTACGTACTTTTTATGGTCTATGTGTTTGCGGCGGAGGGTAGTATGTCAGATATCTTGACACGATTATCGGAACTTGAAAACATCGTGAAATCCTAAAATTCAAGGATCAAAAAAAAGGGACGAAAGATACCAGAGGGACAGTCAAACTCATAGATCGAAAACAAACTGACAACGCCATGGCCAAAAATAAAAAGACAAACAGACAAATAATAGTACAGATGACACAACATAGAAAACTAAAGACTAAGCAACACGAACCTAACCAAAAACTGGGGGTGATCTCAGGTGCTCCGGAAGGGTAAGCAGATCCTACTCCACATGTGGCACCCGGCGTGTTGCTTATGTTATTACAAATCCGGTAAATAGTCTAATTCGGTAAGTCACATTCGTGAAAAGGGAAGGGTATTGTAGTTACGACATAAGGAACATATCCGATATCATCTGTGAAACGGTTATTCCATAACGGTCAACCAACTCGTGATGGCGTCAGTAAAATTTACGAAGGGATGATTTCAACTTCACCATTTGGAACTCTTGGTTTAATAGCTTCCTTGTGAGCAGCAATCCTCTATCAAGGAAATCATGGTAGGAAACATAAGCCCGGGAATATCGTATCAATTGGGAGATATATACTCCGTATGCAGGCGCTGCTGGAATGTTGCTACATAAAAATGGAAAGTTCACAA